CCCCAGAGACCACAACCCTTACCACTACCACCACCACAAAGACCCCAACCCCAAGCCCCACTGTTGCCACCGTCACCACCACCGAGACCCCTACACCACCCTCTGTAGAGACCCCAACACCAACCCCCTACACCCCAAAGACTACAACCCCCAATCCCACCACCACGGAGAGTACAACCCCTACTACTACCCCCACCCCCACTGAGATCTCAAGCTTGACCCCTACCATCACCACCACTACCTCCACAGAGACCCTGACCCCAATCCGCACCACCACAGAGACCACAACCACCACCACTACTACCACCTCTCAGACCCCTACCACAACACCCAACATCCTTGCTACCAGCACGGAGACCCCTACCCCTACAGGCACAGTACCCACGGGTGAGACCACCACGCCCAAACTGCCTGAATCCTCCTCCCCTCTAACATCTTGGTCCACCTCCCCCTTTTCCACGGAATCAACCACAACTCTGACCACCACCCCAACGATAGTGGAGACATCCAGCACGCCATGGCCCCCAACAACAACGGTCACTACAACGGGAAGCCCTGACACCACCACTCCAGGTACGCAGACCCCATGGCACACGCTCCTGCTTCCTCCTCACCCCGGAGAGGTCACTCTCCTGCCAGGGGAGCGTTGAAGCTCCTTGGACCTGAGCTGGTGCCCCCTGCCCTGCCTATTGATGTGGGTCTCCAGGAAGGTTCTAGTGGGCTTGGCGAGCCTCCCTTACCAGGGGAGCCTGGCCACAGAGTGTTCAGGGTGCTGCTGACCCTCAGCCTGTGCGTGGGCAGCTGAGCTAAAGGCCAGCCACTCGCCCCCACAGAACCTCCTTCCTTAGGACAGCTGGCTGTGGCCCACCTCCCTCAGCCCACAGCTGTGTGATGGGCCAAACCATCCCCAGGGGAGCCCACTGAGGCACATGGGGCCAGAGCTGGGTGGGGGGCAGAGGCTGCCAGCCAGGTGCCCCGGGAGACCCTCCCTCCATCCTCCTCTTCCGCCTGCGCCTCATCACTGGGGCTTCGGAGGGCAGCTGGTCAGTGTCCTTGGACGGGCCAGTGTCCTGTGGCAACCCCTCCGGCCAGGGGGGCGAGCACTGCTGCTGTCCAGGGGCAGGCGCTCCTCCCAGGTGGGCCTGCCCATTGCCCACACTGTGCATGTGGCCCTGCTCACCCTGACCAAGAGCTGGGACAATGGATGTGGGGTCTTTCCATGTCACGTACCTCACCCCCAGGGAGCTGTCCAGCTGTGAATATATGATGAGCCATTGCCATCAGCCCTCACCCATCACCTGCATTCTTACAGGCACGCAGACATCAGGTCCCACCTCCTCAAAGACCACCCCTACCAGCGGGACCACCACCAGGCCCTCCTCACCCACCCCGGGACTCCCCTCCACACCCACTCCTGTGACTGTCTCAACGACCACCACGGGAACGCACACCCCAACCTTGACCATGCCACAGACCACCAGCACCTCGACCACCAGCGTGCCCACCCCTACCCAACTCAGCACCCCAAGCACCATCACCACCACCATCTTGGTCCCCACACCCAGCCCGGGCAAATGCTGTGTTCTGAATGATACGTACTACACCCCAGGTATGCAGCCTGTTCCCTCCGACTCTCAGACGGTGGAGGCTGGTGGGACTTTGGCCTCTGCTTTTCCATGGGTAGGAGCCGGGTTTCAGGTCTAAACTGGGAGCTTGCTCAGGAAGCTGGGTGCTGCATGGGGGGAGCTGATTCTGTGGCCAGCCCCACCTTGCTGCAGCCATGAGTCAGGGGGAGAGGGGGTGGTGGGCTCCCCTCTGGTGGCCTGGGTGGGGACCCGCCTGTGCACACTGGCGGCCAGCCCTGCCTGGATGGCGTAGGCACTGGTCTCTCCCCCTGCAGGCGAGGTGGTGTACAACGGCAGGCACGGGGACACCTGCTACTTCGTGAACTGCTCGCTGAACTGCTCCTGGCAATTCTTCAACTGGTCCTGCCCGTCCACCCCCTCCCCAACGCCCAGCACACCCACGCCAACGCCCACGCCGTCCACAACATCAAGCACGCCAGCCACCACCAAGCGCCCTGGGTGCCCCGACTTTGATCCTCCCAGAATGGTCAGTGGGTTGTGGGCAGCTGTGTCCCCACCGTCCAGGCCTTCAATGCCCCAGGCGCTGCCTTCCTGCTGGTCACCCGAGATGCCTCTGTCCCCCATGCCGCGCAACATCCCCAGTAGGGCCATGGCTCCAAGTTATCTTTCCGACGCGGGGTTTGCTGGGGCACCCCCCGTCTCACCCCCAGTGAGCACAGTGCTGCAGTCTTGCTGGAGCATGGTGGCCTTGAAGCTGCCTCCCTGATGGGGCTGCCCTTGGCCTCCAGCCTCCTGAAGAGGGCTCTTAGGTGCTCACCCAGGGGCCTCACAAGCAGGGGCCTCACAAGAGTGTCCTTGGTGGGCCGGGTGGTGGGGCTGGTCCCCCTGACCCTGTGCCCTCCCCGCCCTCAGGAGAATGAGACGTGGTGGCTCTGCAACTGCACCATGGCCACATGCAAGCACGACAACACGGTGGAGATCGTGCACGTGGAGTGCAAGCCCCCGCCCATGCCCACCTGCTCCAACAACCTCAAGCCCGTGCGCGTCCTGGACCCCGACGGCTGCTGCTGGCACTGGGAGTGCGACTGTAAGTCCATGCCACAGGGGGACCCTCCCCACCTCCTCCCTTCCGTGGGCGGGGACGGTGAGGCCTGAGGTCCTTGGGCGCACACCCCAGGTTGGACGTGACGGCCTTGACAGTCGAGCTCACCGAGGGCCAAGCACACATCCAGAGGGGCTTCTCATGGCCCAGCTCATTCCTCATCTCGAGGGGGCTGGGCAGGGGGAGGGGTGTGCCTGGTGGAGGGCAGGCACCTCTGTGGTTATAGGGGCAGAGCTGGAGTTTGAACTTGAACCTTCCGGCTCCAAAGCCAGGCCCCAAGGGCTGTGTGGGGAGATGCCTTCTGGGGACCACCGGAAGAAGCTGACCCCCATCTCCCCGGCCCAGATGCCCCGCCTGTCCCAGACCAGACTTTGCATGCTCCTCAGTTACCCCCTGCTGTTCCAGCCGTCCCTGAGCTCCTGATTGCATCCTGTCCCCTCCGCTTGATCCCCCGCATCTGCCCCAACTCACGGGGGCTCCCTCCACAGGCTACTGCACGGGCTGGGGGGACCCGCACTACACCACCTTCGACGGGCTCTACTACAGCTACCAGGGCAACTGCACGTACGTGCTGGTGGAGGAGGTCAACCCCACCGTGGACAACTTCGGGGTCTACATCGACAACTACCACTGCGATGTCACCGACCGAGTGTCCTGCCCCCGCACACTCATCGTGCGCCACGAGAGCCAGGAGGTGCAGCTCAGGACGGTGCAGATGCTGCCCCTGAAGGTGCAGGTATGCTGGCAGGACCCATGGCCACGGGGGGGCATCCATACGGCTCCCTCCCTTGGCGGCCGCTGGGCTGTGCCACCAAGAGGTGGTTGGCAGGGGGCCACTGCTCATGGGACACATGCGGCTCTTCTCACAGGCCCACCAGGGGCGTCAGGGACCCCTCAAGCTCCCCTCTCCTGACCCCACTGCCCGCTCTGAGCACAGGTGTCTGAGGCAGAAGCCCCCTCCCCAAAAACAGGTGCACACACCGCATGGAGTGGTTGGCTCCCATGGCCAGGGGAGCCCCACCCTCTGCACGAGGCTCAGAGTCTTGGGGTCCTCACCCCTGGGACAAGCCTGGACAAATCTGCTTAGTGCACTGAAAAAGAACTGAGAAAGGGTGGGACCCCCATCACGCCATGTGATGAGGAGGGTGCTGTGGCCCCAGGCGCTCTCTGAAGGCACAACCCACCCACCCCGTCCCTCAGGCACTCAAGGCTCCTTTGTCCAGGTGGCGGGGCAGGGCAGGCCTCCCGCGGAGTTGGTAGCTTCTGCCTGGCTGGCCCTCTGACCCCAGGTGTGTCGGCCACAGGTGCAGGTCAACAAGCGGTCCGTGGCGCTGCCCTACAAGAAGTACGGGCTGCAGGTGTACAAGTCGGGCATCAGGTACATGGTGAACATCTCCAGATTGGACGCCCTCATCTCATACGACGGCCTCTCCTTCTCCATCAGGCTGCCCTACCGCCTGTTTGGCAACAACACCAAGGGCCAGTGTGGTGAGCCCCTGCCCCCTGCGGCTCCTGCGCCGTGCCCCTGGGAGGCCGGTGGGGAGTGGGCACCTGCCAGCCTGGATGAGGTCCTCCTCCTCTGCTTGGAGCCCCCATGGCTGTCATCCCTGTTTTGGCCCCTGTGGGACACCAAGAGGAGTCTAGTCTAGTCTGTGCCCTCGGCGCTGGCCAGCTGCTCCCCAGAGGACCTGGGCAGGAGGAGGGGAGGGGTCCCAGGCGCTCACCGGGTCTGCTGGAAAACGTGGCCCTTCTCGCCAACCCAGGCACGTGCACCAACACCACCTCGGATGACTGCGTGCTGCCCAGTGGGGAGGTCATCTCCAACTGCGAGGTCGCAGCTGACCAGTGGGTGGTGAATGACCCCTCCAAGCCGCACTGTCCCCACTCCAGCTTCACCAGCCCGCGTCCGGCCACCACGACGCCAGTGGGCAGCAGCACCACCACACAACAGAACTGTCCTTCTCCTCTCTGCGAGCTCATCAAGGACAGGTGACCCTGCTCCCGGCCCATCTGTGGCCTCGTCACTAGAGAGCTGCAGGGACTCAGGGAGCGGCCTCGCCTTTCTGTGCCCCTCAGTGTCTGCACAGAGGAGACTAGGCTGGGGGCCTGGTGTGGAGCTGGGAAGGCAAAGGCCTTAGGGCTCGGGCTCCTGATTCCTATGGGGCCGAGTTGCCTCATCAGACACCCCCCTGCCTCTTTTAATTCCAGAATCTCTCCTGCCTCCTGGGAGGTGCAGGATAGGCTGAGCTTGAAGTCCCTGGGATAGACCAGTCGACCCAGGACTCAGCTAGCATTCAGGGCTGAACCAGGGAGGCAGATTGGGGTGTAGACAGAGAGAGGGTGGCCTCAAAGCTGGTATTCATGGGAGTGAGCGCCTCGTCCCCAGAGGTATGAAAGTGAAGGCTGTGTGGCCCTCTGCCACGGTTGCTAGAGGTAGGATACTGGGACCTGTTGGCCATTTAGATGTGAAGCCTCCATCTCTGAGAGGCTGGCCCCATGACCTCATCCTCGGGCCACTGTGCCAGCCCCCTTGGTGGGATGCAGGCAGAGCTCCAGGAGGGCAGCCCAGGCAGAGGGGCTGGGTGGCGGGCAGTGAGAGAGCCTGGTGGCACCGGCTGAAGCGTGACCTACACCCCTCCCCAACAGCTTGTTCACCGAGTGCCACGCCCTGGTGCCCCCCCAGCAGTACTATGACGCCTGCGTGTTCGACAGCTGTGTGGTGCCCAACTCGGGCATGGAGTGTGCCAGCCTGCAGACCTATGCCGCCCTCTGTGCTCACGAGGGCGTCTGCATTGACTGGCGGAACCACACCCAGGGGGCCTGCCGTAAGTGCCCACCTGCCCCAGCTGCTGTGTGTGGGTCCTGCAGAACTGCTGGGGTGTCCAGGCTCTGCAGGGTACTGTGACAGCCTGAAGCCAGACTGGGGTGGGGCGGCCAGGCCTCCATGGAGTCAGGCTGGGCCTTGAGAAGAAGGGCAGGCTGG